CTGGCAGCCTCGGTGCTGGAGAGGGGAGGGTTTGGGGCACGGAGGGCTTGTGTCTGCTGAGCTGGAGCTGACAACCGAAGACAATTTTGCAATAAAGCCTGGGTATCCTGCAGGTGCCTGCCTGTCTGTCTGTCCATCTGCTCCCTCCTTCGGTGTCGGCACTGCCTGGGGTGCTGGTGGCTGCTGATGCTGATGTGTGGGCCCGTGCGGGGACATGCTGTGGCATGGCTGGGGGGGACATGGGGTCACAGGGGGCCACGCAAGTGCCCGATTCACCATGGCCCGGCTGAGCCCTGCCACATGGAGAGGAGCCCTCAGCCCTGCCAGCCCTGCCCAGTGCAACCAAATGCCCATCTCCAGCTGAGCAGAGCAGAACAGTGCCCTCCCACAACTGTCTCCCGCACTACAGCAACTTTCCACCCTCAACACAGGAGAGAAGCTCACATTGCACCCAGCTGCGCTGTGGGCTCCTTTTTTTCATTTCTCCTATTATTTTCCAGGTTCTGTATCTCCAAAAAGCGGGCGCTGGCACACTGCTGAAACCCTGCTCCTTACGTGTGCTTGTGTCCCACAGGGTAGCTGGCATCAGCAGCCACGTCAGCGAGAGCAGCGTGGCCACCTCCATCCTCCTCGGGGCTACGCCATGTCCCACATTTCACAGCACAGCCAGCTTCACAGGCATCCCCTCAGAAAGGGGAGTTGTTTCTCCTCAGCTTTGTTTGAGGAACTGAAATGGCCAAAGTGCCAGGAGCAGGCATGAACCAGGAACTCACAGCCACTCCAGCCCCACGTGGCAAAACCTCTGCTGCAGATGCACCAGTTTGGCTACCCAAGACGGAGAGAGCTCGGGAGCCCAGCCGTGTGTCCTGCACCTCGCTCTCCCTGCCGCTCCACTGCCTGTTCCTGCTGGGAAGGTGCTGGGAGCCCACCGGGAGCGCAGGGGCCAGGGCTGTGCTTCCACCCGCTGGGGTCCCAACTCCTTGTTTCTCGTGTGGTGTGTTCGAAGGGCCTCATCTTCCTGGGCCTGGCTGGTGCCACCTCCAGAGAGAACAAGCGGGAGGGGGAAGCTCCAAGAAGGGGGCACCAGGGCAGCGGGTGAGACCTCCCATCCCCAGGGTGCCCCATCCAGAGACAGCTCCTGGCACTCTCAGGTGGGGACAGCCCTGTCCCAGAGCCACCATGTGTGGAAGGGATGGAGGTGGCAGCTCCAAGGCAAAGCCACGGAGAACCACAGGGCTCCCAGGTTGTTCACTGGAGGGGAAGGGACCTGGGAGCAACTGCACAGGGACCCCCGGCAGCTCAGAGCCTGGCCCGAGTGATGCTCAGGGCAGGGACACTTCGCTCACAGAGAGCCAGGGTTCAGGGACAGGGACAGTCAGGGACAGGGACAACTCAGTTGTGTTTCCACCAAAGAGCACCCTCTGCACTGCTAAACTAGAACCAACCGCTGGCAATAAAGCTGTGCCCTTGCCTTCGCTAAGGCCAGAGCTGCGATGGTACCGGCAGCAGGTCTGTGCGTGAGGGTTTGGCCAAGCCAAGACCAGCCCACAGCTGTAGGAGGAAGACAGTGTGACACCCAGCCCGGGCCTGGTCCCTGTGCCTAGGCTACATTTGTCCTGCCTGTCCCCAACTGTCCCCAAATCCTTCCTCACCCCTAGGAGCTTCTTCTGAAGGCTTTGCCCAACCCAGCGCAGGCTCAGCAAGTCACTGATGGGTGGGAGGGAGGACGCTAAGGGGGTCTAGTACTTCCAGGGGACAAGGGATGGGGACAGGGGGGAAACCTGCAGAGGCACTGGGCACAGGGCTACTGACCCGCAGAGGGGCTGTGCTGGGGACAGCCTAGGGGGCCATGCTGGCCAGGGCAGCGGGGACAGGTGCTCACATCCAGCTGCACAGGGACAGGAGGCTGGGGCTCCCCCCTGCATTCCCCACGGTGGGGACAGGGTGCCCATGCAGAAGCACTGCACCACCCTCGCTGCCCAACCTGGGAGCATGTTTGAGGCTCAGGGGGTCCCTGGGCAGGGCTGAGGCACCCCTCGAGAGGCAGAGCCCCCCCC